GTAATCCATTCCGCACACCACTAGCTACTACTGTCAAGTGTCAATGTTAATAGCTAAAAATATTCTCGCTTGTTTGCCAAATTCGAATATTCTACTAAATTCGGTTGTTTTTAGATTAAATGATAACTCTTCAGTGTTTTTATTTAATATTTCAATTAACTGTAATTTGAGACTCAAAAATTTTCAATAAGTTTCACAATGGACGTGGATACAGGTAAGATTTGTTTATCTTGCATAACCTAAAACCGTTTTTATTCCGGAGTACTTTTTTCTTACAATGTACATTTAATAAGTACATTTATTATACTTTTTTTTTTGTTTAAATCAAAATCGTTTAATTTTGCTAGTAGTTGGACAACGGAAGTGCAAGGCGTCTAGTACATTGAAAAAAATTGCTGTGAAAACAGTTTTTTTTTTACAATGAATATGTGAGAAATAATAATTCTGAATTTGTTATTAGTTTCATTTATTATTTCTCTATTCTTAGTACATAAATATTGCTTGAGTGAAGCCAGCTTTAGAAATAAAAACAAGAAAATGAACAAATATCAAATGAACAAATTATAATGTAATAACATTATAATGATTTACAGTTTTTATTTTTGGTGTCTTTGGTATTTGAAAATATACGTTTTGAAATAATAATAATAATATATTTTTTTTGTTAATAACGTTAACTGAATTCAAGTATATGATACTTGTAAAAATGTAACTAGAAAAAAAAAGGATAACTGAACAAAAAAATTATCAACATATTTTTGGAAATTATGTTTATTTTGCATAAGTTAAGTCTATTTTGGCTTGAACACTTGTTTTTCTGGGAATACAGAGAATTTAGTTATTGTGAGTTTTTGTATACTTCAATGTATACAATAGTGACTTCACTGATCTCTGCCACTATCTGAGGAGATGGCTGATGGTTCCAAGCATCTCTTTTGAGACTATCCCATGCCTGCTTGATTGGGTTCCAGTTAGGCAAGCAGGCAAAGCAGCATAACCTGGTGAGATTGTTTTGACAGAGAACAACATTGACTTGATTAGCTCAATGTGAGGGAGGATTATTGTAGACCAATATGAACTGATGGTCATAGTTTATTCTAAAGTAAATGATAATTCCATCTATATCAATGGTTGATCCTGATTGGTATTATCAGTTGCAGTCATTGAACCTCATTATGGGATTTACAGTGTTCTAGCTCTCAATATTACTCTGTTCCAAAATGACATCAATTTCCTACCTTGTTTTCCGATGACCCGTTCCAGTAGCTATTCTTTATCTTTTAACATCCCTTTGTCTTTTCCAGAAACAGACATGTTAGTTGTCTGTACAAGTGCTTATTCTTGGTTTTGTTTACCTTCTGACATTCTTCATTTTGTTGGAGTCTAGCTCATTGCATTGTGTGCCATTGCCATAACCATAATTTTAGGGACACTAATCAAGATCTCTTTATTGTAATTTGTAGTCCAGAAGCAGTCCACAAATTAGATCTTATTATGTGTTTGTGTGTGGCATTAATTGTAGCAAACGTGGCAAACGTGTTCACTACACGAGATGTGGTTATAATAGAGCTATTTCTCTCATAGAATGCATTTTTCTCCCAGAATAATAATTTTTGTTTGTTACACTTTGGATAATCTATTGCAGTCTTTTTGAATTAATTATTTCTCCTAAAATTAAGAAAATAACTCTTTTGTCATTTTTGTTGATTTTTGGAATTGTCATAAACAATAACTTGATTTAATTTTTATACAAAAAATAATTGCATTTTATAATTGTTTATTTTTTTATTTATTTTATTTACAAATAAAAAAAAAGAGAAAAAACTGGTATTTTATTTAACTATAACAAGAAATATTTTTTGATGTGTGTAGATTGTTTATACAAATTTATACCTTAAAGAATACCTTACACTTTGTTTATAATATTTATTAAGACATTTTTTTTTATTTCAGATGGCAGAAAATCTCGTTCACGTAGCAAATCTGTAAGTATATTTCACAATATTATGTTACCATTCATAAAAGTGCAATTTTTTTTTATATGTATAATGGTCTTAGGTAGTATATATTCTTTCATTATACAACCTACATAATATAAAAATCTTATTATAAACCAAATAAATTAAATAGTAGCTTTTTGGCAACTGTGAATTCCTCCTATCTACAATATTTAATATTATTAAACAAAATTTGTACCAGACTAATGATTACTGAATGATTACTTTGTATCAGAAAATGAGATACACCTGCAGTACAAGCTCGTAATGTAGTTAATGAATTGAAAAGAATAAATATGTGGTTTGACCCTCAAGTAGCACTTGTTCAGAATCATGATGCTTGAATTATGAGGAATGTGGTTTAATGTTAAAAAATCTATTGTAATCCCATTAAGTTTTGTGATAGTTAGTGCTACAAATGGAAACGTTAAACTATTTATCAGCATGACATGGTCGTACCTATCTGATTGTACATGATATTGTGGAATATTTTTCAATTTGATCAATTACCTTCCGTGTTTTTTTCCAATTATATAAAATTTGCTAAAACTGATATGAAAATTGTCTAAATCTATTAAATTTTTTTAAATAAATTTGTATTTCAGGTGGAGTCGGATACCAAAATGTCTCATGATGGGTCGGCTCGTTCCCATCACTCGTCAAAGTCGCGGTCTCGCTCACGCAGTGTATCACGCAGCCGGTCCCGCTCACGCTCGCGTTCCAAGTCGTCGCGTTCTCGCTCACACTCCGGTTCTCGCTCCAGGAGCAGATCTCACAGTAGCGGCCGGTCAAGAAGCGGATCCCGACCGAAATCTCCTTCTCCCTCCCCGAACAAATCCAAGTCCCGTTCCCGTTCCCGCTCTCGCTCCCGATCCCGCAGTGGATCGCCTCGATCACGTAGTGGATCTCCCAGGAAATCTAGGTCTAAAAGTGGATCGCCTAGGAGATCTAGGTCCGCGAGTGGATCTCCCGCTAAATCTCAATCGTCAAAGAAATCTAGATCTCGAAGCGGCTCCCCAACAAAATCTAGATCTCGCAGTAGATCTCGAAGCAGATCTAAGTCAAAGAGTAAATCCCCCGGCAAGCGCAACTCTAAAAGCCGTTCTCGGTCTCCAGAAAAGATGGATGTGGATGGGAATAAAGTTGCTTCCCGCAGCAGCTCGCGCGCTAGATCCCGTTCTCATTCACGATCAAAATCTCCTGCAGGTAATTTTCAATTATTACTACAATTAGCTTAATCAATTTAAGTAATAAGGTATTTTTTATGTCGATAGATAATTGAATTATCATTCATTTGACAGGGTCAAGAGCGAGTCGATCTCGCTCTGGTTCGCGGAAGTCCCGCTCTCGTTCCAAGAGTGTAGACCCCGAAAGTAAGTTTATATTTATTTGGAAGTAATGTTGATGATATTTAATATTATAGTTTTGAAATCATTAAAAAGCTTGTTAGTTTGATCTGATCTATTCATTGGTTATTTACAAGACTTTTATTTTTAATTATAGTCAGTTTTAGAGAGTTGATGTTATTCGATTTTGTATACATTAATTGTTAGCTACACTAACCAATTGTCATTTGTACTCAAATGTTGTATGTTTTTTTTCAGCGAATGTAAACAAAAGGCGATCGCGATCTCGTTCACGGAAATCCGGATCTCGATCTCGATCTAGATCCGCCGGGTCCCGATCTCACTCCCGGTCTAAATCTCGATCGAAGTCTAGGTCCAAATCTCGATCCAAGTCTAGGTCCAAATCTCGATCGAAGTCTAGGTCCAAATCACGTTCGAGATCTAGGTCTAAATCACGTTCAAAGTCGAGGTCCAGATCGCGCTCCAAATCCCGCTCCAGGTCCAGATCCAAGTCCGGCTCGCGGTCGCGGTCCCGATCCCGGTCTAGGTCCAAATCACGTTCCCGATCTAGGTCTAAATCACGCTCCAAGTCCCGGTCGAGATCACGTTCCGGCTCAGCGAAATCTGGTTCCAGGTAATTTAACACTACTTACAGGGGCGTAGCTACCGCCGTATTAAAAATCAATTTTTTTTTATTCTTCATTTGGGCCTCACATCTAATTTTGATGCAGGGTCCCGATACAAAGCACATTTTGCCACTGACCACCTATTATCGTTATGTAAGACATTCAATAAATAGAATAGAATAGATATTTATTTAACAATGTACACAATACAAAACAGTGTATACAAAATAAAACTAATAATAAACTCGTTCTCTTGCCTTAAACTTAAATCTAAATTTAAACTTTTTTTTATACCAGCGAAAATACCCGTCATATTGATGACGTCATTGTGATAAGTATACAAAACATATGCATAGAGTAGAAGATTAAAAGATGTCAATAAAATAAGAACATTGCCATATAACGGTCGATTATGAAATGAGAAGATATAAATAAGCTAAGAACAGCGCCATCTAGGAATTCGATTTATAGTTATTTAGCATATCGTTATTACTAATCTGACATCTTAAAATAGCATGATCAAAATAGGTTGATCATGCTATTTTAAATTTTAGTTTATATGCAATATCTTGACGTATTTTCACTACCGACCGATCTACAGTCGGTAATGAAAAATACGTCAAGCTATTGCATATAAACTAAAATTTAAAAGTTGGCTTAGTTGCTTCTAAGCCTCTCCTGGCTTCAGGCCAAAGGGGGTAAAAATTAGGGATATACCTTAAAATTAGTGATTTTCTTAAAATGCCAATATTTTTTAATTAAATCAATTAAAAAAAACTTATTTTATTAAAATAATCAGCAAATTACTTGAAAATATATTAGTGAAACACTTTTCGATATATGACCGATAGTCATATATTATTTTCATTAGTCTCTTGAAAAATGAGGATATTGCTTATACGCCTCTATGGCTTGAAGCCCGCGAAATGTTCCCAAATTATAATAATTTTAGTAGAAATAGGTAATGGACTGTTCTTTTTTAAAATCACTAATTAGTTTATACGAAATCTGATAAAGGTCTTTGTAACATGATGATTATCGTGTTTCTTTTGACACATAATGAGAATGTATTCGTATTGTCACGTAGGTCCCGGTCCAGATCCCGGTCCCGATCTAGTTCCCGGTCCGGTTCAGGATCGCCGTCCCGACAAGGTAGGTGTCACCATTGAGTCTCAACTGATCGTTTATTTTTAATGTACAATACACCTGAGGGCCTATTTTCTATTTGTATACAAACGAAAATTCGGAACATTTCGAATAGTCCATAGATTTCTGTTAATATCGATGAAGATTATCTGTGCATCTGAGATAGGTTTAGATCTTACTCTCTTAGTTTGGAAGTCGTATTAGCGTTTTGATTATGTACGAATATATAAATATCGTCTTCAGAGATATAAAATATATCTTCAAGTGTCATGTTAGTTCGTACAGTTAACAGCACGTCAGACTTTACAAATCTGTCAAATTTAAACCTTCATATTTTGTAGGTACATTTTAAAACCAACTGGAGAAAATTGATACATAGCTATAACCTGACGTGCAGTCGTGTGTACATTGGTGTAACTTATAAACATGGTTTTACCGTACGTAGTTTCGCACGTAGATGAGTTTGTATGGACCGAGTGGGTTATGTTTGTGAAGGCAAGAAACGTCGCACGGTGCGTCTACAGTCTGACGAGGAGGGCGAGGCAGGTGGCGGCGGGGAGGGGGGCGAGGGGGTAGCGGGGGAGGGGGAGGGAGACGCGCGCCGCGGAGAGGGGGAGGGCGACGCGCCCCCGCCCCCCGCGCAGGACCAGTCCTCTGACGATGACGAACCGGTCACAGGATCCAGGTCAGTATGCCGTCTACCTGTTTCCTATGCCTACATTTGATAAAACGCAATAGAGTATTATATTTGAAATAGTACTTCTAAGTGTAATTTCAATTTGAATAACCCATAAAAAAACATTCTGAAAAAATTAACTTTAAGTCGAAATTTTAACTTATTTTTTTAAATTATACTTGCGAAAACGCTGTTCGCGTAATAATGTAATCCGGTAAGAAAACAGAACAGATGCATAGAGTATACTACTTTATAGTTTAAAAGATGTCAACCAGACAAGAACAGTAAGTTCCATTTAACGATCTGGCTACAAAATAAAAATATATATTAAGGTATTTGATTTGATTATAACATGGCTTCTGTTTATGATCACCGTGACAGATATTGCCAGAGTGACGTCACACAATGGCGGGTCGTTGGAACATGACCCGCCATGGTCACATGAAACACACAAAAATTGAAACTTAAAAAATAATAATGCGATTTTAGGGCTCACTATTAGAATCTCAATGTTAATTTTACTTTTTGTGCAAGTTGTTGACTTAAGAACGAACACAGGTTATATTTCATCAAAGTATTGCTTGAGTTCACGATGAATTAATAATAATACTTTTCACAATTGTTACTTACATTCTTATGACTTGCTTAACCAGAAGGTTTAAACGAAGCTTTTGGTTAAAAGAAGTTTTTAATTATTTTTAACTTTACACTGTCTCTGATATGGTCAACATATGTTTGTGGTGTGAAAACAGCGCGGACGCACAAATAGGCATGTCGGACTTCGACATAATGCTAGCGAGGAAGAAGGAGGAACGACGCGGCAGAAAGAGACGACGAGATATAGACATCATCAACGATAACGACGATCTCATAGCGCATCTCCTGCAGCAGATGCGCGCTGCCGCCGATGAGGATAGAGAACTCAACAGGCGGAACCAGCCCGCCGTCAAGAAGGTACTGGTTGTGGGGGGTTGACAAGTGGGGGCACTTACCCTGGGCCGCAGTGTTAGGGAGGCAATATAATTTTAGCTGACACTAAAGATCATTGTTAAAAAATGAATTTCACAAAATTATCTTTTTCAATTCATACCATACCTGATATTACGAAATTGGATGTCCTACAAGGATCTTATTTTGGACCCTTTCTATTTAGTCTAGGAAATGTTTTTTTTTGTTTGAATCATAGTTTCATTTACAGCTATTGATTTACACCGATAATAATTGATAAATAGGTTAAATTTTTGTAAAAGATGATATGTATTATCATATTTTTATTTTATTTTATTTATTTATAGAAACAAATGGTCATTACAAAACACAAATTTGTCACAATAAGTATATATAGACAGACCGACAGTTTCATTTATGTATCTCTTAACTACACAGTTAGATCTAAATAAACTTAAATCAGTATAAAGGCACCCACATTTGTTACAGTTTCAGCCATTAAATTAACATCAATAATACAGAACATTCCCAATTATCAGGCGTTACGTTAAGAGTATTAAAGCTCCAATGTTTACTTCAGAGACTTATGGTACAACAAAATAATCAACATTTGCTAAATGATGTCCGTGGTCGCGTTTTTCATTAAAACCGTTCATGTGGTGTATCAGGTATCGATGCTGAAGCAGGCAATGTCTCAGCTGATCAAGAAGGACTTGCAGCTTGCTTTTCTCGAGCATAATGTCCTCAACGTGCTGTGCGACTGGCTCGCGCCGATGCCCAACAGAGCCCTACCGTGCTTGCTCATCAGAGATGCAATACTCAAACTACTCACCGATGTAAGCCTATTAAGATAAGGATAATGACTAATTTTTGCTTGTCTGTCTGTCAGGTAGATAATTGGAGAATATTAAACACGTATTTTTTATAATCAATAAATTACGGCGATACGTTGAGTTGAAATGTCGCATGACGTCACGTTTCACTCACGCATTTTCTACAAAACTGTGACGTAGCGAGCACCCACTTCTCAACTTTAACGCCTATTATATAAGCCATTTCTTGTTAAATTGAAGCAAAAAAATACGTATCAAATATTTTTCTATTATTTGATCGATGGACTACACATAATTTTGTTTTAAGGGTTCCGTACCCAAAGGGTAAAACGGGAAATGAGACTTCGTTGTCTTTCTGTCCGTCTGTCACCAGGCTGTATCTCATTTAGGTTTGTCCGTTGTCTGCCTGTCCGTCTATCTTTCTTTTTTGCTCGTTGTCGGTACGGAACCCTTTGTGCGCGAGTCTGACTCACACTTAAGCTACATCATACGCGGGTGATATAGGCTATAGTTTAAATGGGCGGAGACGCGAGAAAACAGCTAGTGATTTATATTTGTGAATAAAAAAAAGAAACACCAATAAGACCGTAGTGACATATTATAATAATTTTTGCGTCATCCATGTTAATTCATTAAAAAAAAAAGATTTTTATTGTCCGATTCTCTATAACAAATTTTCATATTTTTGTAAGTTCATTTAAAAAAAATGTCTTTGTTACCAGCTCATGAAAAGTTAGTTGACTCGGAATAACTGAAATATTATTTATCCTTCGAGAGTAGCTCGGTGGCGTAGTGGATAAGTGCCGTGGCACGCGATCGTTGTCGTTAAGCAACTTTCTCAAGGGTCGGTCACGGGATGGGTGAAGGCACGTTAAGCCGTTGGTACCGACTGCATTTGTGGTCGTTAATACCCGCCAATCCGCATTCGGCCAGAGTGGAGGGTCATGCCATTCTCCTTAACCATCCATAAGGAAGGCCTGAGCATCTGCAGTGGGGACGAAATAAAGGGCTGATGATGATGATGATGTGCATTTTATTATAGTTCCCTGCAATAGACAAGCAGCTGCTCAAGCAATCGGGCATAGGAAAAGCAGTTATGTACTTATACAAACATCCGAAGGAAACGAAAGCGAACCGCGAGCGAGCGGGACGGCTGATATCGGAGTGGGCCAGGCCTATATTTAATCTATCTACTGACTTTAAAGGTATGTACTTGTCTTACGTCTGATGAAGTGGCCATTATCCATATCCATTTCAGTTCAGAATGTCTTCTTGCCTGACAATTAAATTAAAATTTAAACTTAAACACATACATAGAGTAGAAGATTAAAAGATGTCAATAAAACAAGAACAGTGACATCTAACGATCGATTAAGAAATTATAAGATATAGATAAGCTAAGAACAGCGCCGTCTAGGAATTTGATTTACAAATAAATAGGCCCACTTTACGACTAATCTGACAGCTGTCACACAATGGCGGGTCGTGTTTCAAATCACGTGACCGACATACAAATATTTTGAGTTTTAATTTTCAGATATTATTATTATCGTGAGATTTAAGACTTAAAATCAGAATAATTATGTTTATAATAATGTAAAATTTTAATATTTGCACAATTTCACGACTTATTTTTCTTTACCAAAATGTTCAATTCTAAATTCCGAAAATGTCAAGTCTCCCAAATCACAAATTTAGTATCATGATGGTTTTGTTGAATACATTGATACATCACTAATAATCAGAGGTTGGAATTAGGTAGAGTTATTTATGTACTTGCATCGAAATGTTGATATTAATGTGGACCTTCGTGGCAACATCGCGCGTATTGGTATTTTGCAACTTTGGACATCCGATGTCATTGATGTAAGTTTGGCAACGTCGTGCGTGCAGTAGTTTAAATTGTGTAAAAGTAAATAACCTTTTATTTAAAAAATCACGGGATTTTTTCTACTCTTTAAAATTAATCTCGGGATTTTTTCTGCTCTTTAAAATTAATCTCGGGATTTGAGGCATATCCACTTTATTCTTTCGCTGTATGAAATCAGTGTAAGTACATGAATAACTCTACCTAATTCCGACCACTGCTAATAATACACAGCAAGCCAGTTAAATAAGACCTCATACGAGTGACGAGTAATTCTTGTTATGTTATGTTATACGGGGGGCTTTTCCGCAACTCGACACCTTGTGCCTATTTTGCTTGAATAATGGGGTTGCATCAGTTCTGCCACCCCAGCTCTTCAGGAAGCCCATAAGTCCTTTAACTTTGCCGCACGCCTCCTTTAACGTCCGTGGACTACCCAGATGTGAAGACCTATGTCTTGAAACGCCCCTGCATTCCAGTAGTATGTGAGCGTTTGTCTCATCAGCGTCCAGGCATGCCCTGCACAGAGAACTGTCAGAGATACCCATGTCATATAAGTGGTTGTTAAAATAACCATGACCGGTTAATATACCTACTATATTAGTCTAAGTGTAATAGGGAATATGCATGTTTTTGAAAAATATTTTTAAATGATAATTTACATCGATATATAACTGTAAAAAAAATACCCGGCACCGAGAAACTAACATTTTGTAACATTAATAATTCATGAAAATAAGTAATAGCTACGAGCAGTTTCAACACCGGAATTTTTGGCGCTCTTGTCGTGACGTCAAAGTACACGACTAGAGATATGACACTTTAAATCAATATGGATTTTGAGTGATTGATTATTATTCAATAACCCAAATCGATTAGCAACTAATCGATTTTTAAAGTATAATAGACTTTTTTTATAACTCATATAGTTTACCAAATTAGTGAAAAAAAAATAAAAGCCTAAAACACCATTTAAATTGTAATCTGTTGTTTAATTTTGCGACATAATACATTGATGTTATTGCATCGATGTTAACTTTTTCTAACAACGACATCCCTATACGTGTACATTTTCGTCACATCCGCTCTGACAAGTAACATCTCGTTTGAATAGTTTGAACTTACCGCATCTTTTTTTGCACTTTTTAATTATTATTTTCAAGACGAAAACGAACAAATGTTGAAAAATATTAACATAGACTTTATTCTAAAGCAATAATGATCGTAATAAAATATATTTAAGCCTTTTTTTAATCAAACGCATATTCCCTATTCTTGTATACAAATATATATCTATGTGTGTATATAATCTGAATATCGGAAACGGTTCCAACGATTTTTATGAAATTTTGCATGAAAGTCTTTTGCAACAAGTTACTATTTATATTTATCTATGTATTCAACAAACCCATCATGATACTAGGTTGGATATTTTAGGAATTAAAGCACTGATCATATATTATTGAATATAACGTTGTACAGAATGATTTAATTTTATAGATGACCAGATATGTTGTTTATATTTATATGTATGTACGTTTGTTGTAGCGATGACGCGTGAGGAGCGTCAGGCGCGTGATGAGGCTATGGCGGGAGCGAGACGGAAAGATGAACCAGGACCATCCAAGAAAACCAGACTAGACGATCCGGACCGGTCTGTATAATATACTTACTATGTAGCCATACTGTAACGGGTTTGGTAGGTTCGATGTTGCTAGTTAAATAAAATAAGTAAAGGCTGTCTAGGATTGCCAGTATATTTATGGTAAAGATAAAAAATTGTAACAAAAAAAAAATAACATATAAAGCAAATTGTTGTGCATTCCGAAAAATATGCTGCTACCTTATAAGTAAAAAAACACTTAATTAGGTACATACTTCGTTTTTGGGATTTCCTTATAAACTGGGACTTAGCCTTATAAATACAGATAATTCACTTTTATTTTACACTGTCTATTACGTAATATTAAAAAAAAAAATATTAATTTACAATAATGTGTCGCTGTTGGAAGAATTTTCACAAACTGACATATAAAAAGAGCATATAGTGTTTCTCAAAATTTTCAAATCAAGAAAAGTTAATAATAAAATAAGAAATGGTCTTAAAATTGAGAGACAAAAAGTTTTGATTTGGGAATCTAAGACAAAAAAACACAGTTACAATACCAGTAAATGAAGCAACAGATCAATTGGCAAATTGACAGTTATTACTATAAATTTTGAAATATGAAATCATTAATCATAAACAATATATGCAGTATTTTATTAAACTTTTATTATAAATTTTTTTAAGTAAAAGTCAACCCTTTGTTGCGTATGCAATCAGTACTCATGTTTATTGAAATGTGACGTCACGGCTCGAAATCGCTGATTGTTTTCGCGTGACAATTTAAATTAATCATTATAAATATATATTTTTTCCTTCATTTAATACTTTTTGGAGAAAAATAATCGGATAGTGGTTTAATGCGATCATATGAAATTTTAAAGTATTTTCCTTACCCCCTCCCTACTTTTCTAGAGATTAATTTGCCATTTGAATTACACAAATAATCTGTTACTTTGCTATTCATTAATCTACAGAATCAATTGCTAGATTTAGAACTGCTTTATTTTATAAAATTTTGAATACCAAAATTACAAAGACAAGTAGGTACGTACGAAAGTGGGCGTGGTCAATGTTCAGTAGTTTTGGCATGGAAATGTAACAGATACATATAAAAGTAACCGTGGATTTAGTATATTATTAGTTTGAGGTTGCACCTGTTGATATAGTTTGTTGTAATTACACATGTGCAGCACGGTACGTCCTGGTGAGCCGGGATGGGTGGCCCGCGCGCGTGTACCGCTCCCCTCCAACAAGGAATACGTTGTCAGGCCCAAGTCAACATGCGAGACTGATATGTCGAGGGTAATTTGTAGATTTAATTATTATTATCTTATTTCTTTTGCATAATGCTGTACTGGAAAATATTTCTTAATGAGTTAAATGTTTAAAAAACCCACTAGACCCAGGTACTCTGAGATGGGATTCAAACCCGCGACCTTTAGCAACCCGGGCGACTGCTCTAACCATTCAGCTACCCAGGACCTAACAGGACTACTAGATTTTTTAAGCACTCGTTACTTTTCGCTACTAGGAAATCCAAACATTTATTATTATTTATTTTTCATTAAGAATAATATTAATTTGAATTCAGATTGCTTTGTTGAGATTGATTGAAGATTTTTTTGACTTTTACTTCATATTTATCACATAGGAAAGCGGATCCCAAACTTTTGAGACCAAATACCTACATATACAATCTGTAACATACATATAGGGGTTGTCTTCACCCCTATTATGTTACAATTTTTTCCTGTTTTATATTTTTATTTTATAGATATACATTAAATAGGTATATCTAAATAAATTAAAAACATATATATAATTCGTGTAATGAGTTGAAATCTAAAACAAAATTATTTTATTTAATTTCCCGCTATAACGCGCTCTCGTAGCGTCTCTAATGACGTCACGGTCCTCTGAACCTAATATATCGTACTCATATCAGCATACTCGTGTATTAGTGTAAGAGTATGCTGATATGAGTAAGAGGGGCGTGACGTAACGCGTATTTGCGGTCACGTGACAACGAGCGTAAAAAAAAGATTTTTAATAATCAATTTAAGCGATATTATGAGTAATAATAAGCATAAAAATGTGATTATCGATAATAATATATTAAACACTAGTAGCGAAATAGTTATTTAAGATACGAGTGCGGAAAGTAAGCTTTTACGAATGAGGGCCAAATTGAAAACACAAGCGTAGCGAGGGTTTTCATTGGCACGAATTCGAAAACCTTTTACGCTCAAGTTTCTTACAACATTTTTCAATGCTTTTTGCGAGGAAATAAAACAAATATATAGGTTAATAAAACTAAGTATGTATTAAAGGTAAAAATTATTTGTTAAAATTAAACGTGATATTTGAACATGTTTTCGTGTCATACATTTTTATTTGAAAATATTCGTTCTAGGCTCCTTGAAATACTTTTGCCTCTAAAGTTTGACATATTTTCATCAATTTTTTTTAAAATTTCTTTAGTACTCTGCCAAAAAAAAAAAAATACTTTTAAGCACGTGTGCAGTAAAAGATTTCAGTACATTTTTATTTAACACGTGTTTAAAGACTCACTTTCGGTGTTTACAATGGATTAAAAAAAAAACGCTTTATGAGCAACTGCATTGAAAAAAATAATATGTATTTATTTTCGGTTATTGTCTCCAACCATATTAACGCAACTGCTTTAAGAAGTTTGTTTAAATTCAGACGCCGATGCGATTTTAAAAACTTATAATATTTTTTATCATCAGACAACTAAAAAGAAGATGACCCGATACGAAAAGCAGATGAAGAGGTTCTTGGATCAGAAACGTATCAAGAGCGGATCTCGGCGCGCCGTCGAGATATCCATAGAGGGCCGCAAGATGGCGCTCTGAACTATATACTGTAGGTTATTGCGTTGAAGAGACATTAATGTGATTGGTATTAAATAAATAAATAAAAATGAATTGCCAGACGTACAGACAGAAATTGACTTGTTTTAATAGTTCATCAGCGTTTCCTTGAATGAGTGAATTTGGATAGTGCGTATAAATGTGTTTAATATTTAAAAATATATATATTTTTTTATGTTATTTCAACATCTTTATTATAGAAGGTATTTCAACTAGCATCGACACTTGCTATCTTATTTCTTACTTGATTTAATGGCGCTATTATAATAATGTACAGTGAACAGCATATCTGGTTGTACATAAATGACGATTTTTATTTTTTCTATTTTGAATCTTAAAATATTAAGACTTATGTTTAAAACATATAACAGAATCTTTGAAATTTGGCTAACCTCATATGCTGCTGCGTATACATATGATTATTTTAATCTATCAAATTGTCTATTACCCTTTTAATTTCCATTGTGTTCTCTGGTTTTTGTTTACCTTAAATATTTCATAGTTTTTTTATATTTAGTTTCTCCATTACTAATCCAAGTATTTCTGCAATAAAACTTAGTTAAAAATATAGCTCTATGATTGCTATACAAAATATATTTAACACTTGTCATAGACAATATACTTAACATTAAAAGGCATGTTAGATTGTAGTAGCTGAAATACTTAGACATGTATTGCCCCTAGGGGAAATACTTCACGGGCAATATATGGATTAGTCTTCTGGACAGTGTGTGTAATGATATCATTATGTCAGGCCTAAAGTATATGCATTAGAGTTGACAGTTTTATAATAAACCCCTTCTTATATTACGATACTCTCAATAAGGAATTATATTTAAACTTCTGCGTAGATGGCAGCACTTGCTCATCTAGTAAAAAAACTATTACAAAAATTTTGTCTTATGGGAATGAATGATTTATTGTTGGATAAAATTACACTTTTACTAATTATTGGTTTTGCTGAATCAAAGTTTGTAAGATACTAGTCGCCTGTAAGTATCGTAATGTAAGAAAGGCTTTTCTGTGACTAATACTCGGATTCTGAGAACTTAAAGTTGATGACGTCTTAAACTGTACTTAAACATAAGCAAGTTTCCGTTTTTGATTTTAGTTTCTCAATGATCAGTTGGCTTTTTGAATTGTGACACGTAAATAGTTATTGAGAATAATCACAGTGGCGGACTAAAGGGGGGGCGGAGGGGGGCGATCTGCAAGTTGCCGTTACTGAATAAGAGATTTTGCATTTGTCTTCAATTCGGAAACCGGCTGGATGTCAATTGAATTCTTTGACGTTATATTCATACATAAAAGACACATAATACGACGCATCTGTAGCATCATCAGTAATAGTCAAATAAATATCTGTTAATATAATATGATATGGGCAAAAGTAATTTTCTATTTTAATATAAGGAAAAAAACATGGAAATGTCTCTAATTATCTTATATGTTTATTTTGTTTCGTCATAGTGTTATATCGTATTCAGATCTTTACAATTAAAATATATGTGATAAGAAATTATTATTTTATTTTTATATTCAACCATAAGTGAAGGCAGTAAAGTCTAGTTTGTCGTTTCTTTTTTGTATAAGTATTGTAGAATATGGAAAGGGCCCAGCTGCAAACTTGATATAGTTAGAGGTCTGATTATATATAAAAAATATAGGATTTCTATTGATTATTTGTTTTTCAAAATTTTTTGAATTATTTTGCGATTAATCAGAACTCGGACGTGACTCGGGACGAATGAGCTTGTATTACTCATGACTTAGCAGAATGATTCATTAAAAATTCGAATTTATTCAAGTCTCTAATTTCACTTCGAAGCGGTATCCGATTAACCTTGAATAGGGATGATGACTATTTTTTGTTTGTTTGTCCGTCAGGTAGAGTGTTAAAAAATATTAAACACGTATTTTTTTTTTCGTAATCATAAAATTACGGCGATACATGGAGTTGAAATTTCGCATGACGTCACGTTAGAGTACGTTTTCTACTCAACTGTGACGTAGCGAGCCCCCACTCCTCAACTTTAATGCCTGTTATCTAAGCTATTTCTTGTTAAATAGAAGTAAAAAATACGTATCTAATATTTTTCTATCATCTGACTGACGGACTAAATAGAATTGCATTTTTGCACCTAGTCATTATCCCTATTGGTGTTAATGTTTCATGGCATAAGTGAAGTGAGTTTCAAAATGACAGGGTTTCGACAGTTTGTTTAAAACTGTCCTTTACTATGCATGTGTCAGTAGAAAGAGACAGATAGTTTATCAGCGTCTTTGCTCTCTTAAAATCGAGTGTAAAAAAATCACTGCTTGGTGCTGTTACAACACCATAAAGTATACTAATATAGTCCGAATTAATTTAGTACCATAAACCGGCGCTACGTATCTCTTTCCTTTGCACATATGCATCGAGCCAATTATGTCATACTAAAGTAAACCTAAAATGTTTACAATATAGGAAGCTCAAAGGTCAACGTACGAAAGTCTTCCTTTTCCGCGATTTTGCTGAGACGCGTCTCACAAAGCATTAAACTCAATATGTATATTAGAAGTATTAAAATTACAGGTTTTAACTCAGTTCGTCCAATTGATTTACGAGGAATGAATTTATGACTTGGTTTAATTAATTCGGCTAAAGCAAATTGACAATGACAGAAGAGAAAACCACACATTGAGACGTGTTGACATATTTTGGTCGGATAATGGTTTAAGGTAAAGTCACGAAAGAGTTCCCTTGCCATAACTCTTATTCCTTTGTAATAAAAGCGAAAATATTGTGATCCAAAGCACTCCTTTAGACGAATACTACTAAAGTTAGTTTACATTTTTTATTAAGCTGGTTTATGTTTTAAGTTATATTCGGTCAAAAATCACCATTTGACTGCTCACGGTTGGGCCCTAGTCATATTAAAAATGTCGCTCAAACTGTAAATATTAGGGGAGACGGAATGGTTCTCAAATTATAAAGAAAACTAGGGTTTTAATGTTTATAATGAGTAAAAATGTAAAACTTTATAAAAAACATCAAACGAACGAACTCGAGAGATTCGAGGAATGGGCGCGAGTAAGAGTTCTCGAGTACGTCATGTAATGCGTGCTGTATGTGTTGCTAAGTATTAGAATAGATGCTGCGTGAGTACTTTTGATTTCACATACACGTTTTTGCTGTCTCTTTCACGATTATGCTGTTGTACTTTGCAGAGGAAAAGGACAAGTAATCAGCTCTTGGGAAGACTGTGTAGATGTAGTTTTACTATATGTACATGAAAACTATACTCGTATTGCATGGTAATTTTATATTTGAAGTTTTTGTTTATATTTTCGTGTCTAAATTTTAATTTTGATTCTTATGTATATGTTGATTGGTATTATTTAAAATTTCATTTATGTGTAAGGGTATTGGCTGTACCGGGATATTTGTAAATCACTAGCCATCTCGCAGGATTAAATAGACAAGACTAATATCATAGGCAAGAATGTTTGCACTACAAATTTAACGTTAACCACTAGACTAATTGTCTGATTTCAAAATTTACCGCAACCCTTTTTCAAAGGTAAAGCGATTGTGATATATGGAAAATTGTAACTATTTGATCACTTTACGTACTAAGAGTGGTACGTGACTTTGGTAATCTAGATAAAATTGAATTTCTTGACTTTACATCTTTTTAATTAGCATTATAAAAATATAGTAGTAGTAGATGCGCATAGATTTATTATTATCCAAGTATTAAATAAATAAAAATTTAATTTATATTTAATGATTAATTATTATCAAAAGTCAAACAACAAACAACATTTAGTTTTGTGAGATTGCTGGTGTTTTTTCTAATTACCCTGAATATGAAATAAACATTATTTAGATAGCAAAACTGTACTGTAAGATAAGTAAGTAGATTAACTGACTACCCCCCCCCCCCATGATATATTGGGGATCACGCCTAATTTTTATTTGTTTGTCCGTCGGGTAGATTGTTGTAAAATATTAAACACGTATTTTTTTTGTAAGAGTTAAATTACGGCGATAAATTGAGTTAATGTCATTGATCACGTCACGTTATGGTGCAAATACGTATCTAATATTATAATTTTTATCTTAGAATTTCTTTTTTTTTTATTCAGTTGTCCCTATTTACATGCGCAAAGCGGCCTCTTTCTCCAAAATTTTTTATGAAACGCTAATAAAAGTTTAAAGAAACGCATTTTTCTATAATTTATTTAATTATTATAATTTCATTTATATAAAGGTAGGTAGGCTTAGTTCCCTTATTCTGTAACATTTTAAAACCGCTGATAGAAAATACAAATAAGTGATTGTGACTCATTGAAATTGCTCTCCTTTGCAATGATTAAGTCTTCAACCTCCTTATTCTGTAATTCTGGGCAAAAGACTATTACGAGGTAGTATTTAAAAAAAGAAAGCACTAAAAAGCACCTCACTAGATGGAAACGAGTGGACCAAAGATAGTCATTTCCGTTCCTTTTAACTACCATATTAAAAAGCTGAAATTTGTAAAGTTCGAACCTTAGATATCAATGCAAAAAGTACAAATAAAAAATGAGTTGTTTATTGAGTTTTGACAATCAATTTACTTTTATACATGAAGGAAAACCGGAAGGGTTGTCATGGAGAAATCAAGAAAGTACCGTAGCGACATCTAGATTGATTTCGGAAACTATTTTTTTTAAATACTTCCTAAATTACGAGGGCGAAGTCGCGGGAAAACAACTAGTTTTTGCATGTTAGAATAATAAGTTGGAAGGAGGGGTGGTCAGTAATACAATTGAGAGCGCGAAAACTGGTTGCATTGTAGCGGCTGCCAATCGCGCCGGTGGACGTATGTGATGTTGTGTATAAGGATAACTGTAAAATTATAATAATAAAACTATTGATATAATAAACAGTTGTACTTATTACGATCTTTAAAAGTTATTTTTGTAAAATCTTTATAGTTTGAAGACTTCACCAATTC